GGCGCGCGGGGGGGGTGGGGGCGGCGGGGGCCAAGACATGGTGGAGTGAAGAGCATGTTTCCTCTGCTCTGGACATTCTTTCTCCAGCTCACCTCTATTCCCCATGACCAGACTGGGGAAAGCAGCGGGGTTCGCAGTCCACCCCTAAAACTGCTTTCAAGCGGCTGCGGACGTGCAGACTCGCTCTAAGGACGCTCCTACAGTTTAGTCATCGGGGCAGGACTCGCAGCGGGCGGCCGGTTCGGACGCTCTGGCTCTGTGGCTCGAGTCTGTCCCCTTGGGATCTGGTGAGTCACCACCTCCTCTGTCCCCTGAGCCCTCCGGCCCTGATGCCGCTTCTCCAGGGGCTCCGTCAAGACAGATGTCTGGATGTCCGGCGGCCATGACGCCGTCCTCCTCTGGCTGCGCTGCGGTCTCCTCCTAAATGGGCTACCAGGCCCTGCCACTGACACCACCGCCTGTCGGCACAGCGCGAGGACCTGCTCCCACTCTGGCACAGAAGTCAGGAGGGCAGGGGGCTGGGCATGTAGCCGTTCCACTGCCCCTCATTCTTCCAGCTTTATACAACCAGCAGTTCTTCCACAACATCAGGGAGATTCAGAATGGTCACTTCCTCGTTCAGAGCCTCCATTACTCTCCCTAAATCATGCTTATGCTTGGCATCCTCCTCAGTCTGACCTGATACAGCTGCATAAATCCGAGCTAAAAGAACTGCTTTGTTTTCTCCCTACCAGGGCCGACCTGGCGGCCATGGTCCCTACCAAAGCTGAATTTATAGCATTTACACTTCGCATTGAATCTGCCTATAAGCAAGCGATTGCGGAGGTTCAAGAAGAGGTCACCACTGCTACCTCTAAAGTTTCTGCTATTGAACACTATCAAACAGATTTTGTTGGCAAAATCACCCAGCTAGAAGAGCAATCTTCCTCCCAGCGTCAGTTGACCGCTCTGATGCTCGGACTGGATGATCAAGATAATCGGGGCAGGTAAAATAATGTCAGAATTAAAGGGATCCCTGAATTTACTCATGCTGCGGATCTGAAGACCACTGTACAGGGCATCTTTAATTTGTGCCTGGATCGCCCCCCTAATACTCCTATAAAAATTGACCAGGCCCATAGATTCTTAGGCCTCCGGACTCTGACAGACCAAGGGATGTAATTTGTCGTGTCCACCACTACACTACAAAGGAAGACAGGCATGGCAAAAAGTTACGATTGATTTTGACTGGGCTCAAATACACCTTTTCCCTGATTCATCCAGACATACCTTACAAATGAGGCCTATGCAGAAACCTTTGCTGGAAGCAATAAGAGACTCCAAAGCTTCTTACCGCTGGGGCTTTCCCTTTCACTTGAGTATTAGAAAATCGAATAGGACATTTCTCCTGAAAACACTGGATGCACTGCCGGACCTTTTCAGTTTTTTGGAGGTCGATCCTTTTGAGGTACCCAACTGGCTGCTTCTCCCAAGGGCAGGGAATCCTGTGCCTGCTCCTGACCTACCTATACATCGTTCCCGATCTTCACATGAGCTCCCGATCGGCTCCCATGCGCTCCTCTGCAAAAGCTTTCGGTGGAGCCCATCGTACCCCACGGGGTGGTAGGCCCTCTCCTCTGCAGCCCTCACAGCATGAACTGTAAGATCGTACATATCATCTCTTTTCGCAAGTGGCTAGTCTTCCCCTGCAGACCTCAGACGTGATGTAGTCCTTTACTTTTCCCTATGCCTATGGAGGTGACACTTACTGACCAATTGCTGTTTTTTTTGTTTATGCTATGCCATGCATCAGAGAAGTTACTATCCTATTCATGTGCTACTACTTATTGTGCAGGTTGTTGGCTGTCTCCCTCCCTCGCACCATGGTGTTGTGTTCTGCACCCCCGGCAGAGGGATTTGGCCCATGATCTGGGTAGACTTTCAATAACCACATGGCTGAACGGTGGGTCGGGGCGCCTTGCTTGATCCCCATAGGCTGGCCTGGGCCCTTAATTATTTTGGTCGAGAGTGCCGAGCGCTTCTGCTATTTCTTCCTTAAATTCTTTTTTGTTCTTTTTATTCTCTCTCTAT